TTTCAATATAAAGTTAAGTTGAGGGTATTTGTAATGTAATTTTTATGCGTTATAATGTATTCAAATTTAGGCTAGAGTTCTATAATTGCTTGTTCGGGAAAAAGATGCCTTGAATTAGATTATTACATTTCATGAATGCAAATACAGTGAAAAATATAATTCATAGTCACAATGATTAGTCTCATTAAAGTCTCACAATAGAAGAACAATTACCTTGAGTTGGTTTTCAAATTGTATTCTGTCACTGCAAAAGTCACTCCTTCTTGGAGAATGTCATCTTTTTCAATCTCATCTTTTGTCATTTCCACGATTCCTCCTGGCATTTGCTGTGCATAGCAAGACGTTGCAACAGCAAGCAGAAAAAAACACAACAATGAAGCTTGTCTTGCCATTTTGAAAACTTGAATGTTTACTTTCGAATATATATCGATCAGTGATATATTCACGCTGGAGCACAAGGTGAAGTTGTGGAAACGAACCGTCTGCATTTAAATGTATCTATGTTTTTTCAGGTTTACGTCTGCTGTTTACACCATATGGTATTCCACTACGATTTAGCAAACAAATTAGAGCATGCTTCGAAAGTATGCCAAATTCTGTAAACAAACTATGTGCAATATTTGTAAGTGCAGAGTTCTTTATTAAGAATCTGTTTTCTACACATTTCCAGAACGAATCAATCCTCCATATTTTTACCATCTATACAACATACCTGTCAATAAAGGAAGGAATACTTAAAGGGATAAGTTAATAGGATCTCAAACATTACAGAGAGAGGCAAATAAAGCATACATATTTTATGTGTCTGTAGATAAGAAGAGAGGTTGATGCCCTGAAAAAAATCTTCTTTTGCCAAGTATTTGCACTGTCGCCATAATTTTGTTTATAAAAATAAAGAGCCTCCTAAAGGAGACAATTCAATTCAAGCAACTATGTGTGGATGGTTTTGAAATGTTCAAAAAATGCGGTCAAAAAATCCGCTTGTAAATTTCTAGCTATGTTTCCAGATTTCTTTTGAGGAGGCTAAACGGCTCGTGTGCATACCAGTCTATTGTTTTCTGCGTTTAAGAAAACCAGTGTAGCTGTAGCAAGAATCACTTCACAAAAATTACTCAGTTGTCGAAATGGCGTCTGATATTTGAAATTGAAAAAGCAAGAAATTAACGTAAAGCGAAACATAAGAAATTGCCATTGTAATCATTGCTAAAATTTCAGTGGCACACAAAGTGAATACAAGGCCGACTTCTCCGCTATTGAAACTTAAGGAATAGGAATCACAAAATTGAAGCATTTGTTGTAACGCACAGGACCAGAGGCGGCGCAAAGGGTTTATGAGGGGGATAGTTACCCCTTTCTGTTTAGAAATTAATTCAACAGCGTTAGGAAGGGCTAGATCATACTTTCTCCTAACAAAAATTCACTCGGTGCAAGGCACTGAAACGAGGCAAAGGGCGTGGTTTCACTGGTCAAGCCCATTACAGATCCACTCTGCAGTAGCTTGCGTCGCCACTGTGTAGGACACAATACAAGTGTGATAAATTTTTGGCATTCTTAAACATGTTAAGGAAGAAACTAACAAACAACCAAAGGCATAAAATTTTTATTTCGAATAAAGAGAGGGTAAAAGAATCCTAGCCGAACGAAAATAGATTATTTACTAGGTATGCTGTTAATGTGGAGCAAACGACATATTTCTCGGGGTAAAAATGCTTCAAAAGTCATTTTTTAATCTTGACTTGACCGTCAATCCGTTATTCATGCTCAAAAGTTCAGCGTGCCTTCTATTTACAATTAATAAAGATTCCATAAAAAGATTTTTTACGTTGCTAATAGATATCGACAATGCTATTAGATATCGACAATGCTTTGAGGTGAAATAGAACATTCAGTTCCTTTTCATTTATCCAATGACGATGAAAGAGGGCACCCGTTCATCATTCATTTCTTGAGGCTGACATCATATTTACGAAAACAAATAGTGCTTAAGTAATATTGCAAAAGGGACCTATTATAACAGTTATCATTGACAGTATACGGGCAAGAAAATAACAAGACCCCACCGAAAAAAGGACATGACGCTGACAGCTTTTGCTGACTGGAAACTTCAACTAATGGTGATGCTGGCATTTCCATTATCAACATTGTCAATCTCATGCAGCTCTAGATTTCACTGCAAAACGCCTGAAATCAAATACATCAGCATGGATAAACTGACAAATATGACCTTGAATGGAACAGTGCTTAAGTCATTCCAAGCAAAGGACATTTCAGAATGCCAGAGATCTTGCCTCCATGAAGAAAAATGCCAGTCACTGAATGTCAATATCAGTACAGCGATTGGCCTGACATGCGACCTTTTGGACATCAATATCTATAGCAATTCGTCGCTTCTTCTTCAGCAAAGTGGATCCGTTCACCTCTTTATTCCGGTATAGTTAAAAGCGATTAATTTATTCTTTGCAATTGAAAAGGAATAACTTTTATATGTTGATTACTTGCAAACTAAGAAGCTTGATGTTAGTAAATTTCTTTTTAGAATAAGTGCAAGAATAAACCATGCAAGAACAATGCAGTATGTGTGCCCAACTATCAGAACGACTCCTACAGCTGCGAATGTAAATCGAATGGAACATGGATAACGAAAGGGCTTCATTGTGAAACAATACTAAGTAAGTACGTAGAAAAAGATGAATAGCAGCATTATAAAGACTTTAAAAAAGCACCTTTGTCGACATTAAATGATAACATTATGACTGTTGCATCCCCATTATTTTTATTGAGCAATGAATATAGTATGTTCATAAATTTGGACTAAGTTTTTTGTTTTAAATAACGTGACACATGTTGTCTCAATGTAGCGAGAGGAAAATTTTAATTAGGGATGAAAATATTTTTTGCTTCACAAATTCTATTATGTCTACTTGTGTCATATGTCTACTCAAATAACACTTTTTTGCAGATGGATATTCCAGTGCCTTTGTTTACTGGTCATTCGACGATCCAGCAAGCCTTGCCCCCTTGACAAGCACAAACTTGGACATGTCATCATATGTAGCATCATCATGGACTCCGGTCTCGGAACCAGGTCGAAGACATCCGGTTGTAAAATGCAATGTGCCAGGCCGTGCGCCTCCTTGCATGTATATTAAGTCAAATGTACCATGCCTTCAGTAAGAATGTATATTAATTTGCATTTATAATGTTTTGCATGCTATTAAAATTTTAATGAAAAGACCAAAATCCTTGAAAATTTGTCGGGTTTAGAACCTGTAGTCCGATGCTTTTTGTTTGCAGCATTTTTGGAACTTGTAAGCTGACAGTCACTTACAGTGTTTGGATCAAATATACAGAATTTGAAGCGTCAAGATCTGCTCCAGCATATATATTCCATTCGTATGCTTTTAATCAACGTCGGGGCATTTCCTTTAGATCGAAAAGTGATGGAAAGTTTACTTTCGCTGCTTCCATTTCGTTAAGCAAACGATGGATTATTGACGGTTTTGGAGGAGCTGTTGTGAAGACAAACTGGAATCAGTTAACTTTTACAGTGGATGATAATGCAGAAAGTTGTGCCTTTGTCAACGGAGTGAAAGATGCCTGCCAGTCAACCCATGCTTCGGTCTCCTTGACTGATTTGCAATCCAGTTTCGAAATTG